CTCAACCTGTGGGTCGCAACCCCTTTGGGGGTCGACCACCCATCTCACAGGGGTGTTCCTAAGACCATCGGGGAAAACACATATATAATTACATATTGTTTTGTGATTAATCGCTATGCTTTAATTATGTTCAATGGGTAATGAAATTGGGGGTCACCACAACATGCGGAACTGCACTAAAGGGTCGCGGCATTAGGAAGGTTGAGAACCACTGGTCTGCACTCTCACCCACAAGAAGGAAAAAGGTTTCTCTGCCCCTTCACGTGATCATCAAGTCATCCCCCAGGAAGGGCGGGTCCCTGGGTTTCCTCCACCACCCGGGGCTGCCGAGTCAGTGAAAACCCCTGTGGGGAGCCTGGCCCGGGGCCACCAAGTGGCCTCCCTAGCAGAGGCCCAGAGCGAAGCACCCTTCCCATCTCCAACCGTCCACAGCTGAGAGGGCACCAGCCCCATGGGCACCCCCGGACGGGCTCAGAGGGAGATGCGGGTGGGCAGACTCCAGCCCTCTGCCCTGCGTTGGCCTGAGACACCCACACCCAGCCCGGGTGGCCACCCCTTTTGGACAGAAGCCCAGGGAGCAGGGCCCGGGAGGAGCCACCATGGCCTGCGCAGAACTGTGGAGACTGCCAAAGACAGACACGTTCATGATTTAATCAAACGAAAGGACCTCTGGATCACCTCTAAAATACACCAGGCACGGGGGCTGAAAAACCAGCCCCTCCGTTTTCTTGTTGACGGTGTTGGGGACGAGGCCGGGCGGATCAGCTGTTGGCCTGTTCACAGGGAAAAGAAAGGATGTTATTTCCTTAAGATAAACACGGGTAGAAAACTTTTTTTCTCTCTAGGTCGACAAGGCACTTAGACACCAGCTGAGCAAGCCTCAGAGGACAAAGGGACGTGGTTTCCCCACGGCACGAAGGTCGAGTGAGGCTGACTGTGGCGGCGGGCAGCTGGGCTGAGGACCACGTGTGCCCGGGCCTGGAGGGAGCGGGGAGCAGGGTGTGTGCGGAAGCAAACCGCTTCGCAGGGCCGGGACACAGGCCTGGGCTGGGAGATCTCGCTCCACACGGCCACTGAGAGACATCAGTGTTCAACCGCCTGGCTCCCTGCCCGTGGCCTCTCCTGCACCAGCCTTCCACCTGATGCTCCGGTGCTGAGCCCTGGCCATGTCCCGAACACCCGTGTGGTCTGCTCTCTCACAGACCCGGCAGACTGTCCCCCCCTGGGCCTGGCTCCCCGCCGAGCCCCACGCGCTTCCCTCCACCGGGCAGCCCCCAACAGGACATCCGGGTGCCCATTCCAGCACTCGGCCCTCTACCGGGTGCGGACTGGCCAGCCGCTGTGGCCACTAGGAGGTATGAGGTCCTCTGGTTTTATTGGGGGCCACGTCAGACAATGCCCTCGGGTCCTGCCCCCCTCCCCAGACTGGAGACTTGGGGGGACACAAAGTGAAAATACTTCTCTCACCGGCAGCCCAGCCCTGGCAGGGGCCCTGGGATGGAGAGGGACCTGGCTCTCGCCCGGGATCCGGGCAGCGCCAGGGGAGAGGTCCCCGCTGAGCAGCATGGTCAGGCCCGGAGTGCCGAGGGCAGGATGGCAGGGAGCCCCCGGGACCCCCGTCTTCACCGCCTCTGTGTGCACCAGAGAGCCCCAGCTGCTCCCCCACCCCGGACTTGGGACCTGGCCGGGGTGCACTCAATGGCCCAGAAAAGGACAGGGCACCGTCCCGACTCCATTGGCTAATTTGCGTCCCTGTGCTCTCTGCCCGCACCGAAGTCTGGGTGGAGCCAGCTGAGCCGGACTGTGGTCAGCAGAGCACAGCCCTGTGTGACGTCAGCCACGCTGAGCCCGGCTGCTTCATCCACGCCCACTGGGCGGCATGCAAGTGAGGCCCCCAGTAGTGACGGGTGGATGCCGGGGGGCGGGGGGGGGGAGGAAGGGGGGGACGGCCCCCAGCTCCCGGCAGCAGGACCACGGCTCATAGACACCTGGGCTGTGACGTGTCCGAGCTCTGAGCCAGGACAGGGAAATCACCTTCATTTGTCGATAGATCCAGTCTGTAAACATCGTCACGTTTCCGTACACTCCAGGCCTGTTCGCCTTGGCGCAGCCGGACCCCCAGCTCGTGTCCCCAATCAGCCACCAGATGCTGTTTTTCAACGTGACCAGAGGGCCGCCACTGTCGCCCTGGGGGACAAGCACGCAACAGAGCGACGTCAAGCCACAACCGCACACGCCATGACCTTGCACAGAGGGTGGGGGTCCCAGTGGGTGTGTGGGTGTCATCTCTCCTCCAATAGGTAAGAGTGATAGAATCCCCAAGAGAGACTATACCAGCGATGAATTTTAGTCTACTAGTAGATGAGCTAAGAGTTACTAAGTCAATTGGTGTCTGTATTTTAAAACAGTCCGATACTTGTTTCTGTTCCATGGACACTTAGCTAATATAAAACCCTGTCTCCCAGGGACATGGAACCTTCTCTCTCAGCGGGGAGAAGGGGCTCATGGACTCAGTGGGGTAGGCAAACACCTGGCAGGAATCCACGCTGCCCCGCAGGTACCCGGCGCAGACCATGGTGGGTGTGACCAGGTTGTTGTAGACGTATCTGCCGTTACACTGCCCGGGCTCGATGAGGGGCACCATCGCGGCGTTCAGCATGTCCGACGTTTTCCCTGAGACAGACCAGGTCATCGCGCCATCAGTGCAGCCCGCGGCTCCCACGGGAGGGGTGGACCCCCTCCTGGAGACAGGCCACTGTGGACAGACAGGTGGCCCTGCCCCGCCCCTCCCTCCTTCCACCTCCTAAGCCGTCTCCCGGGGAACCTGGGTCACCCTGCAGCTGGCGGGTCTGCGCTTAGTGCAGCTCTAGGTTTGGGTTTCAGGGGGAAGACTTCCTGCCCCTGGAGTCAGGGAACCCCCCCCCCCTCCCCCGTGCTCTAGAATCGCCCTCATCATCACTCAGCGACTGGGTTCTGCGGGCTCACCTTGCCCCAGTCATCGCTCCCTCTTCTCCAACGACCCCCGCCGGCCAGGAGCTCCTGTCTCCCTCCGTAAACAATCCGGCTTTTCTCCATCCCACACCCTCCTCCGTACATCCGTCAAACTGAGGCACAAAGCCTGTGTGAACTGCCCCCAGTCACCCATCCGGTGGGAGTAAACCCAGGATTGAAACCCGGGCCTCGGGCCTCCCCCTTGCAAACCCAGGGCCGTGCTCACGGGACTGCAGACTCTGTGCCCAGGAGCCTCACCTTTCTCGTAGGTGGCCCCCCACCCGGAGATCCAGCAGGCCTGTCTCGGCTCCAGCATCAGGCCGGGGTTGGGCAGACACACCGGCTTCACTTTGTCTGTTTCGAGAAGGAAAAGCACCGTGAGCTCGTCTGGTCTGACGAAGGCGGTGGCCTTCCGCTGGACCTTCCCCGTGCGCCCGCGGCTGGGCCATCCTGCCCGAGGGAAGCCCGGGTGCCAGCGGGTCCTGGCACCCCGCCTTCACCCCTGCCGGCGCCCTCCTTCCAACAGGCAGGACGCTCGCCTCCGGAAGTTTTGTGACTTACAAATGGAACGACTGGCTAGCTCTGCTTCAAAACACACACAATTAACTTTTCTTCAAACGAAATCTTCCAGAAACAGAAATGAAAAATACAGTGTCTCCAAGTGACAGACGGTAAGAAAGACAGACCCGTGGCAGTGGCCAGTGGCCAGTGGCCAGGAGGCTGGCAGGCACTTCTAGCTCCTGGGGGCCGTGCTGGACCCGCCTCCACCTGCGTTGTTTCCTGACTCAGATGTAAGCACCTGGAGGGCAGGGACGTGGTTTTGCGTCTTCTGCCCTGGGGGTGGGTCAGGGGGAGAGGGGGCGCTAGAGGGCTCTGGACCCTTGGATGGACTAGATTGGGGCCCAACTCAGAAGTGCAGGGGACGCATGTTGGTTTGTTTTCATATCGTTTTAAGTTGTTATTACTTTAAAGTATTTTCTTTCCAGAATAATGTGGAAAACTAAAGCATCTTCACAAGCCAGAGACCAGCTGGCCTCACTGGCGGTGACGCTGCCCCCAAGGAGCGTCTGACAACCTTTGCCTGCACAACCGAGGCAGCTCCCGGCATCTAGGGGCAGGGGCCCCACAGTGCACAGACGCCCCCCCAAAGAGCCTGCCGGCCCCCGATGCCAACGGCCACACTCTCCCGTGTTGGTTAAACTGCCCCCCAACGTGGAGGAAAGTGTGGTGGTCACTGCTTCCCTCCACACACACAGGCACGTTTCTAGGTGATCTGGCTTCTGCTGAGCACATTCCTGTCAGCCCCCCTCCGCCCGCCACCCCCGCCTCCCAGGGATCACAGCCCAGGTTTTATTTCCAGCCAGCCTCTCCTTCAGCTGTGGCCAGCACGGCCCACGCGCCCGAGCCCCACGGACAGAGGTGTGTACCGTTAAAAGTCAGCGGCGTCTGCAGCTTCATAAGAGCGATGTCATTGTTCTTGGTCTTGGAATCATAGTTCGGATGAGAAATCACCTTGCCCACTCGGTACGCGTTTCCGTAGAACATGGCAGATTGTCTCAAGATTCCTGCAAAGGCCATCCAGTACCGGGGATTGTTCAGAGGCCTGGGGGGCAAAGGTGAACACCGCTCAGCATCTCAGAGCCGCAAACGCGAAACACTCATTGGATGAGCAGAAGTTATACACTGGAGCCCAGCGTCCCCGGGGGTGACAGGACCACCAAAGCCAGCGAGACTGGCCGGCAGGAGTCGGGCCTCCCCAGTCCCCGGCTCGGCCCGGGCCTCACCTGCACACCTTCCCGCCTTCTAGCCCCTGCTCTGCCTCCTGGCTGAGCCCTGTGCCCCGTGGGCTCCGGCAGCAGCCCACGGACCCTCGTAATTCCAAGAACACTGTTTCTTGGACCTACCTGCCTCTCTGAGGTTTTAAACTTCGTTTCTGGCAGGAACGGGTCTTACCTACATTGATGTGCTAGGGATTTCCTGACACTCAGTAGGTGCTTTATGAATGTGTAGTGGCGAACAGCCTCTAGGTGTCTAGCCCTCACCTTTATCTAGGGCAGTGATGGCGAACCTTTTGAGCTCGGCGTGTCAGCATTTTGAAAAACCCTAACTTAACTCTGGTGCTGTGTCACATATAGAAATGTTTTGATATTTGCAACCATAGTAAAACAAAGACTTATATTTTTGATATTTATTTTATATATTTAAATGCCATTTAACAAAGAAAAATCAACCAAAAAAATGAGTTCGCATGTCACCTCTGACACGCGTGTCATAGGTTCGCCATCACTGATCTAGGTGTTTCCCGTTAAGAGCATCCGATGGAGGGAAGGCGGGAACAGCCTGGGTGATAAGCACGGCTTCCTTCCGCTGCCACCACAACCCTGGCAGCAGCCCACACACCTGTCATGTGTAGACACCTTGACTGCCCCGCCTGAGGCCACACAGCCAGGCCAGGCCCAGCCTCACACTAAACCAGAAAAACAGCTCTCATGAGTGAGTTTTCCTCCAAAACTGACATGTGAGCAAAAACTCTTATGTTTAAGCCCTAGCTGGGTGGCTTAGTGGATAGAGCGTTGGCCTGTGGACTGAAGGGTCTCCGGTTCGATTCCAGGCAGGAACACATGCCAGGGTTGTGGGCTTGATCCCCAGTAGGGGGCGTGCAGGAGGCAGCTGATCAATGGTTCTCTCTCATCATTGATGTTTCTCTCTCTCTCTCTCTCTCTCTCTCTCCCTCTTCCTTTCTCTCTGAAATCAATACAAATATATTAAAAAAACAACAACTCTATGTTTAAGAAAAAAAAGGGGGTGGGGGGGACAGTATCTTCCACAAAAGCTAACGCTATAAATTATGCCTTCCCCTTGCCCCTCCCAGCCGGCTGTGTGGGCAGCGCTGTGGCCAAGGAAGCCTAACTGAGGCCACAGGGAACCTTCCAGCAGGGCCGTGTGCGATCCCCGAGGGTGTCTGAGTGTGGCCTCTCCCAGCACGGTTGTCCAGAGACCAGAGCTCCCTCGAGGGCAGGAAAGGCAGTGACCCCCCAGCCCGATGCTGCGTCCTTGCTCCCAGAATCCTGCCTTCAGTGGACGCCCGATGCACGTTTGCTGAGGGGTGGGCGTGGCCAAGGCATCACGTGCAGTGGCTCATCTGACCCTCCCAAGGACGGAGGGGGCGCCATGACAGCCCCACTCATACACAAGGAAACTGGAGTTCGAAGAGGTCAAAACCCGTCGCTCAAGGTCACGGGGCCACAGAGCCACCTCCCAACCCAGGAGCCGCTTCCCCGTGAACATACTCTTCCACGCAGTGGGCGGCCGTCACGATCCACTCGGGGGTGATAATGGAGCCGCCACAGACGTGGACGCCCTGGACGTGCAGGCTGACCTGCCAGGGCCAGTCCCCCGGGGCAGCACTCGATCCGCCCACGATCCGACTCTGGCGGCCCATCTTCGAGTTGACCCCGCACTCTGGAAGCGACAAGCACAACAGAGCAGGCCAGTGAGCAGCACTCGGGCCACCCTGCACCCCGATACCCACCCGTGCAGCGTGCGCCCGTCCCCCAGGCCCCGCCAGGCTGGTGGACAACTATTCCCACCTCTCATTCCAGGTTGTTTGGGGTCTGACTTTCGGAGAACATGGCCTGGTCTCTTTTAGGTTGGAGGGGTGAGGGACATGCCAGTCACCCTGAGAACCCCCACCCCCTCCAAGCACCTCTTTGACTGCCACTGTGATTCCAGACACCCAGCCTGGGTCCTGGGTGACAAAGGCCCTGGATCTCCTGAGTCCTGGAGGGATTGAATGCTCAGAGGCCCAAGATCATGGAACAAAGTGAAGGAGGGATCCGCCTGTGTGCTGGTCACATGCCCACCCGGTGCTGGCGGGGCCGGAGGGGGGGCGGGCACCTTGCTCCCTTGGTACCTGAAGAAGCTTGAGCCCAGGGGCTGGGAAGCTACTGCCAGGACCACTGGGAGCATCGGCTAGTCTCACCCCTTCGATCAGAGAAGCTGAGCTTCAGGACCGAGAGCCCGTAAAGGAACAGGACGGGCGTCCCCGAGGGGAGCGCAGGGCAGAGCCTTCCCTGCTGCTAAGAGGTTTGCAAGCAGAAGTAATGCAAACACAGCAGGGCAGCCACAGGCCTCCAGCTCCACCACGGAGTGGCTCAAGAGGAGCTCCCTTCTCTCTCCACCTTCCCAGACACAGGGGATCTGTGTCCGAAAATACAGGACCAAAAAGGAACACCCAGGCTCACTTACCTATACAGCGTAAAGAAACCACTGTTTTTGAAGAACAGACATCACTACAAAAGAAGAAAGACAATGGTGGTCACAATGGATGAGCCATTTGACTCTCACAATACTTAGAATGTTTTCCAAAGTTCTCAGTCCCCTGCCTCCCCAGACATAGAGGGGTCCGTGACTGAAGGCTTGAATCAGGAAAGTAAATCCATTTAGAGGACAGTGGTGAAGAGCAGACACCGAGAGTGGGTCAAACCCTAACTTGCCAGTTACTTAACCTCTGTGCCTCAGTTTCCCCATCTGCAGAATGGGCTAATGACAGCACCAACTCATAGGATGGCTTTGAGGGTAAGCATGCAACAACATCGGCCATGATTTTTATTCTGGGATTTTAAATCAGCCTCTACTTTTTCAAGGGAGCCATTTGTAAACTTTGGTTTCCTATGGCTGCTTCTTCACATTTGTCACACAGACAACAATACAAGCAATTATGTGTCCGGGAGCAGAAGAAAAAAAAAAAGAGTTACTGCTTTGGGAGGCAAACACTCAAGGTTTGCCGATGCAGCCTGGTGTATATCGAATGTTCCTCCTAATAATATGCTGAGGAGGAGAGAAGCGGCCTCGACATCCGGGCATTCACAGCTGGCCACGATCCACTACACAAACAACTACAGAGACCAACACCGGGCCAGCCCACTGCTCGTGAAGGACAGGATACACACAAGCCCACCGCACAGTCCTGCCGGAGCCTGGTCCCAATCAGGGACCCTCTACTGTGAGTGACGGCAGCTTCCATGCCAACCCTGGGGTAGCCGGGCTTCATGCCACCCACCTTCTAGGAAAAAAGTGCTGAGATGCCAATCCAAGAATCACCCTCGACTCCTACCAGCATCCAATCCAGAGCCAATCCCTGCTTCTTCTAATCATCCCCCAAATGACCCACCACAAGCCCAAATCCTGTAAGCTGTTTGCAACACCTTCCTGCCCACACGACCCACGTTCCAAGGACCACGGCGTGTCCCGGCGGTCCTGGCTGAGGGGCACTGGCAACGCCGAGAAGCACATTCCCACGAAAAGGTGTTTTCTAAGAATCATGAGGTTGATTCTCCAAGGGAACCCGGCTGTGCAGTCATCAGCCTCCGGGCTCGCTGCGGCCACTCTGACGGGCCCCACCAGCGGCTCAGATGTAAGACCGACAACGTAAGAAATGCCCAAACCTGTACGAATTTTTTATGAGTTCATTTGAGCCAAACTGGCGACAATTGCCGGGAAGCAAAATCGCAATGGATTTGGCTTATTTTATATATTACAACCAAAGGAGGAGATATAAGTGGGTTACATGAAATCCATTGGTGATAGATTAGGGAGGCGGGAGAAAGCAAAGCAAGGAAACCTCTGGGATTGAATAGAAATGAAATAATAGACACATGCTTCTTCTACAGAGGTGGGTAAGGATAATTAACAGTTAGCAATTAACATAACAACATTGAGGGGATCTTGGTTTCCACTCTGTGCTTTGAGGGGAGGGGGGAGGAAATTATGTTGCTATTCCAAAGGTATGTTGTCAATTATGTTAGTGTAGATGCAAAAAAAGACAACAGACAGGCTCAGTGAAGGCAAAGACTGGCCTTTGCTAAAGAAGAATACCGGCCCAGGATGTGACTACCGCCATGGCTCACTTGTGGTTAGGAAGTTTTCATTCCCGACCATCCTGTGTGGTTACTTCCAGTCTGAGTTCGCAAGGCCGCCACGCAGGCTGCCCCTGAGCTCCTGGGGTTTAGTATGTGGCCCCTTTTTCATCCACAATAACAAAGGGCAGCTTCTGAGAGCAAAAGGGAAGTCTCCCCACCCCTGTCACGTAGAGACACCGCGAGCCAGGTCAATGCCTTCTCTCTCCTCTCCTAGGCCGTGGCCCTCCTGAGCTCCCAAGGCTCACAGAGGCGAGGTGGCAGCTTCCGCCCCTGCTCAGCCCCATCTGCCGTCACCCAGGGGGACAAGGCAGCACTCAGCAGGTACGAAGGGCCCAGGCAGCTGTGTTTGGCTTCCCTGGCGGGCAGACCGCAGCCCCGCTGTTTTGATGGGCACACCTGGCCGGGCACAGCCCGCCTCCTGGGCACACCCTGTCACCTTCCCAGGGACAGCAGGCTCGAGAGGAAGTTGGCCCCCCAGACACCTCAGCCAGCGGCCACCAGGAATGCAAACCTGCTTCCGGCCTCCCACTCACGGGAAGGAGGGACGGTGTGATTAATCCATCCTTCCCTCCAGCAGCACCTGGCCTGCGGGAGGTGGCGGCTGGCTAACACCTGCGCGGAGGGACCGGGACCTGGCAGCCGGGGGAGGCTCGTGCACAAAGGACACTGTGTCTCACATTAAAGAGCCTTCAGACAATGACCAGACCGGGGAGACTGTCAACACCTTAAATACATGCAAAGCAAATCACGTAGCTCAGCCCACCCCTCCCCACCTTCCTAACCAGCTAAGCTGTCGATCATGTGACCTGGGGATCATGTGACCTGGCGTTTGGGTTCATTAGCACCCACAGGGCACACTGTGACCCACCCAGGACTGCAAGTCAGCCTGGAGGTACAGGAAACGATGGCTGAACTGAGCTGCTGCCTCTGGCTCTCCCAGGGCACCCCGTGACCCTGGGCTTGGGGCTGGGACCAACCACCCTGCTGCCTGGGGCGGCGGGGATCCTGGAAGCAGGACGTCAGTGCTAAAATCAGCCAAGTGCAGGCAAGCAGAGGTGGTCACCCAGCAGGGACCCAAGGTGCGCTCTTCGTTTCTAGAGACCTCCCCTGACGTGCGCAGTAGGGTCAGCTCTAATATCCAGATAGTGAAGAAACGAGTGCGGACTCTCCGTTTTGCAATGTCATCTAATAGCACAGAGGGCACAGGGCACAACGAGATGGCACAGAAACCTTCCCCGGAACGAACCCAGAGCTGCTCGGGGCAAGTGGTCCTGCCCAGAGCCCATGCTCCTGGCAATGAGAATCGGCCCAACCCGCAACCGCAGCTCAGAAAAGTCAGCCTCGGGCCGGCGTTGCCCCGTGACGTCCCTGCCGTTGCTCTCATGATAAATGTTTCAAAGGGGAGCGGCAACCGCCAAATACCTGTGATAGAGCTTTTTATAGAGATCGGTGTTGCCGGCACTGATGTTCAGCTTCAGGAAGCTGGTGGCCCCGCTGTCATCCACTATTCCTTGGCTGGAATAAAAACTATTCCTGAAAAAGACAGAACATCGCCTTCAAAATGATGGTTAAGTTGCAAGCAATTACAAACCCTGTGCTAACTAACACTCCCCTTGCATGAAATTGAGATGAAGAGGGACGCCTTAGCAGGTTGGAAAACAGCATCACAAACATGGACAAGGGACTGTTATAAGCATCTTTGGACCCAATAACCCTGAGTGTCGGGCCAAGTCTCCCACCGGTGGTGATTCTAATCTAGTTTGGG